TCACAATTACAATTTGTATACTGTGCCCAACAGTTATAGGAAGACCACCTAGATCCTCCACTCCTACAAATTCAGCAGAGGAGAAGCATTCTTATTTCATTATGCTATATACATTTTCAATATCCATGTAAAAACCTACTTGGCCTCTTTTGCTCCTAATGTTTGTAACAGACCACCTCTTCCCCACTTAAAGACAACTTCTCTTAGACTTTACGACCAATCCTATTCCTAGGTTGGGGAACATAAAGGACCCAATGTCTGCTCTGGCCTGGCACATTAAATGGAGCCAGTCTTTCTAAAAATTATAACACCCCCCAAAATTATATAAAATTTTAGCTGTGGGTTAATAACCCCAGATTTGGCTTTTCCCCAGGCTGCTCTCCAATTAAACCACAAACCCCAACATTCCAAGTTCTTGACTCTTGTATTTTAAGCTTCTTGCCTTTCAGCTATAGTTCTATAGGCCCTTAGCCTGACAACCTTTTTCAAGTCACTCCTCTAGATGCTACCCTTGACTAGCCTTCTTTGCTTCACATTACACACCCGTTTTAGTCTCAGTGCAAGCACCACTGATTCAAGTATGTCCAAACCCAGATCAGAGGCATATCTTAACCCTCCCAGGCTTCTCTTATAGACGAGCAGTTGAATAGCAAATCAGCTCACTTCTGACCCTAGCCTGACCTCAATCAACAGCTTCCAGCACTGGGATTTTCTTTGTTTTTCCTTAATTCCCACCTTCTGCTCCAACCCCTAAAATTGTGCCATGTTTTCTTGGGTCCTATATATTTATTTCCTTAGTCTTCCTGAATGCATACTGCTCCTAAAATCAAAGTCTTCATGATCGGATCTCAATTCCCATATACCCTGGATCCTCTTGGCCTAACTCTCCACCTATTTCCCCCAAATAATTTAGATAATTCCAGTAACTCATGGCTGTATTTCTTTTAATCTCCCCACTCCAAACTTAAATTCCAGTGAGAGACAATCAAGAACTCATTAATACATATATATTTATTTAACTCATATTATAGAATTTTGGATGGGCTGGGATGTTTTAGAGGGATTAAACTGTGTAATCCACAGATATTCAGATTTTTGTCACTAAGAGAGCCACTATTGGGCCAGAGCTCTCAGTAAAAACAATCTTGGGTAAAATATTTGATGAAAAATAGTCCAAAGATAGTCTAATAAATATTATAGCCATCAACACAGCATTTGTCTGAAGCTGGGAAATCAGACTATAAAAAGCAGTTTTACCTGACCTTATGACATTCAACCTGGCCAACCTGTAATACACAGCCAAATACAGCCTGATGGCTTCAAGGCTGCAATTGGCTTCAGGAATTGAAATAATTGTGGGAGTAGGTCTTGTTCACCAGGCTCACATTCTCCATTCTGTACAGGAAAGGGTATCAAATATGGGAACTTTTCCAAAAGGCCATCCATGGGATGTTCCATCCAGATGATCATATATAAATATGTAAACCATGAAACCTTAGAAAATTCACCTAGTGTATTTTAGCTTAAAATAATATGTGAATGATTTTGCTGCAATCTGAATTTCACTGCATCAAAAGTTACACAATGAAATTGCATGATAAAAACACATACAAATGCAGTCACTCTTACAAGTAAGCCAGAACACTAGTATCATTAAAATTTCTTTCATGTACTCAAAACAGGTTGAACTTTATTTTTTATTATTTTTGTGCTTTCTTCAATAAGACAGTATAAAAGCGGAAATGAGCATAAATTGTAGACAGATGGAACAATTTGCTAGCAGAAAGAATTGTGGTAGAATATATTGAGTAGAGCAACAAAAACTTATGGAGTTACCTTCCTTGAAGGTGTTAAAACACAGGTCCTATTCCCTTTGTTCAAATGGGTTCAGTTGAAGGTACTCAAAATGACTTCTCTTAAGGTCCCTGGCATTGCCAATATTCTATGAAAGTCTAAAGTTTACTGAAGTAATTATCTGGGGCACACCACACACCCACTGAGTACTTTGTTACCATGTTGTTTCTTAGAAAGTAATTTTTATTTCATTATTTTACTCATAAATTTCATTGCTTATCTCAAACCCAGTTTCATTTCCTACTTTATTCAGTAGACTCAGCTCTGAGTGTTTTTTACTATAACCAAAATTTAAATCTACCTTCAAAGAACAAAGTGGGAAAAGTGATTGAAAAGAATGGTGCCACATGCTCCAGACCATTCCCCAAGTCAACTTCCAAAGAACTTTTGAGGAGGACAATACTCATTTATGTATGAGTCCTAGGTAATCTGCAAAATAATATCAGTATAACCCAAATGGATATGTAACCAAGCTTTTCTGCCCAGGAAACAACAAACAACAGTAACTTTGATTATTCACTCATTCATTCATTCATTCACACATTTGTTCAATAAACATTAGCCAGGCAACTGCTCTGTTCTACACACTATGTCAGGTGTTCAAAATACAACAACAAAAACAAAAGACACAGGCCCTGCCCTCTAGGTATTCATAGTCTATTAAGGAAGATGATTATTATACATTAAACATTTGTATACATCAGAATTACCTGGAGAACTTGTTAAAAATGTAAAATTTGTTTAAAATGTAAAATTTCACATATGTGTCCAGGTACTTTAAGTAGATCATGGGTGGGGTCTCAGAATCAATTACTTTAACAAACACCAAAAGTGATTCTAACAGGTGGTCCGAGGAACACACTCTGAAAAACATAGCTACCCAATATGATTATTACTCAGGCAGGTTGGGTAAGGATACTCAGGGTGCTATGGGAGCACCAACGAGAATATAACCCAGTCTGGGGGACCAGAAGTTAATTTGATTAAGAAGCATGAGGATGGGGAAAGGTAGTCCAGGCCAGACTCAGAAGTAGGGTGGGGAAGTTGAAACTTTGTCTCAAGGCACTAAAATCCAAAGGGCACACACACACAAAAATGAATGGCATGGGAGACCCAAAGACAAGGTAAAGGAAATTGGACTGGGGTGGAGATGGAACATTTTTTTCACTTTTAACATTTTCATTCTGTTCTCCTGAGGCCAATTCTAACTGTTTATTTATTGTAAGCATCAAAATGGTTATAATGTCTCCATTCTAGGCCCAGAGAACAACTTGTGTAAATAGTTAAGCTTGGCTAAGGTAATCAGTATGAGGCGGGAAGTGACATCAAAGATGACGCTGGGAAAACAGAGACTTGAAAAGCCAAACACTAAAGTAATTGTAAACTTCTACTAAATGCGATACGGTGGGGGTGGTGGGACTGTGAAAGGTTTTATGAAGAGGGAAAATCATTTGTTTTGTTTAAGAATTTGAGGATAGACCATAAAGGAGAAACCAGAGTAACTTTGAAATCAAGGCATACATTTTAAAGCACCACTACACTCTACTGGGGTAGGGGCTGGGAGAGGTAGTGGGGAGGAACTTAATATTCATTATACACTTAACTAAATGCCAGGTGCTGTGCTCAGCAGTTTACACGTGCTATCTTTTTACATCTTTGCAACAGCCTTGTTAGGTAGGTATTTTACAAAAAGAGGAAACAGTCTCAGAGAACTGAAGTACTTGCTCTAGGTCATACCACTAGTAAACGGCAGAGGAACTACAATTATTTTTGTCCAAAAGCAATGAGCTCTCCATTACAGAAAGCTATTTCCCAGCACTGCAGAATCTTATTGAGATTGCTCATTTTCTCATTTAGCAGTAAGTACATATGGTGGTGTTTTTTTTTAATTTATAAAGCCAAAAATCTCACTTTGTCACTTGATATGTAAATTTGAGCCTGCTATCTGCATTTGCCTCCAGCTTGTTTTCCATGTTAGGTGAACAAATAATATAAAAGTGTTATTTAGAGGGTTTATATAGATACTTTGTCTCTTCTACAAAATAGTAAGCCATTTGACAGCAGAAACTAGGTTTATTCAGTATTTCAGCAACAGTGTGGTACCTGGCATCTAGTGGTTTGTTAAATCAATCAATGAATCAGTATTCACCAAGGTCATGGAAAGAAAGAGGAGAAAAGTTCTGGCTTTGTTTCAATGCTCCAATCTGGGGGCTTGTTACAGCTACTACTTTGTACAATAGTAATGTTTTAAAAAATCCCCAATAGTAGACTCCTTGAAGCAGACTTAGCTCCTGGAAATGGAAAACTCTGGTTCTGACATCACTAATCCCTGCAGTGAAATTGACAAAAGCACAGACCTTAAAGCTTGATTCTCTTAAACGACAGTGATGAGGACGGGGATGAAGTTTATAACTGCATTTGCAATGAAGAGTGGGCTAAGCAGATAGAGTATAAACAAAATTTCAAAAGGAGTAACTACTTAACCTGTTTAAGAAGACAAACTGTTCTCAGGCATTCTTAAGAAAATTCAAGTACATTTATGTGCAAATAGTTGTATCTATAACACTCTATTCTGATTAAGTAAATAAAACAGATTCTTAAAGAACATCCATTATTTTTTAGTATAATTTTAGTGACTTTATGTACTTGAGAATAAAGAGAAAACTCTGCTTTGAAATATTCTGTGACAGAATTTTTAACAATTAAGAGGCACCTCCTCTATTAGGTAGTATCGATGAAACTGTTACATGTAACCCTTCTATCTGGATAAATTTTCTATCCAGCAATAGTATCCCTTATGCACTATTGTCCCCCAATCTCTCCTAATTCAACCTAGAGCTCTTCCTGCCATCGATGTCATTATTGCATGTATGTGACAGATGGGAAAAAAGGGGATGAATGGAGGGAGGCATGTAATGTTGACTCATTTTGATGAATGGTATAATTTTTTTCCTTCCAGTATATTTCTCACCCAAATGAATAAATTACAAAGTTTATTATGTATATATAATTATAAAATGAATAAATGACATTTATTCATTTTATGACATTTATTCATTTTATATATTTTATACACATATATATGTTTTCTTTATTAAAAATCCTTGATTGCAGATTTTAGTGATAAACTATTATTATATGCAATCATTTAACAGTTCAAAATTCTACTTGGCCAAATTGGCCAACACAAGAAAAGGTGACACCCTCCCCCCTTTCTAGCTAGCTAGCTCCTTGTTCAGAGTATCATTCTACATTTTTACCTAGAATTACCTTAATTCCTTTCAATATAATTTATACTTCTAAATCACTGGAAATTTTTAATTCTCCAATGACAAAAAAGGCTTTCTCTAAATTTTTCTCCAATGGTTTGAACCCAGACTACTCAGATAATTTGTTATGAGAAACTCAAAACATTAACAGAAATACATGCTTTAATGCACAAAATTAAATCTATAATATCTAGTTATTTGGGATGCTTCAAATGAATTTTATTTTATATCTTGTGTATTGGACACTAACTAAAGTTTAGGGCCAGAAGAACTGCTGAACTGGAAAGCCAATGAATTATATGCTCACTTGAAACTTAATGGCAAGCTTTCATCCCAGAAACATAAGGGGATTCTTGAGGCCGGCAGTTGCATTCCTGCCGATCAGGATAATCAATAAAATCTGGGGCAGGCAAGCCAGACAGGATCATTAGGGATTTGTTCCAGATTGTGAATGTTGGACAAACTGGAAGAATAAAGGTCACATCAAAAGTATGAAGATGAAGAGAGTTAGCTGGATCATAGAAAGATAGCATGTTGTTGTCATAATCCAGAAGGACTCCCAGACGCTTCAGTTGTGGGGGTACATCCACCAGCATTTCCTTGTTGTTATGTCTCACTATGAAGTTACTGTTACATCTAGAAAAAACCCATGAAGAGGCATTCTTGCCAATCCATTCATTCTTGGGAGCTGATTTGTAAGCAATGCCAATTGCATACCTGTGAGACAGTGGAAAGGAGAGAGAAATAAACATTTATTAATGATCTGAGTTGTACTAAATACCATACAGACAATGTAAGAAATAGAATATATGATTCTTCCTTAAATAGTTTATATTTAGATCCATAACATTGATACTAGTAGAGCTTGAAAAAGTTAGTAATTAGAGTTCCAAGATGGTGACAGAGTAGCAGGCAGCCCCGTTCATCTGCTCTCAGACATGAACTGAATTTGAAGTCAGAATACAGAGCAGAGAGAGTGAGAGTCTGTGAGTGGGAGCTATGAGGAGAGCATGGGGAGTGAGGAGGACAATGCAGGAATCGGATCAACTGTGGGGCACGTGGGGACCAATGGCCTGGGCTTTCTAGGTTGACCACCACTGCTGCCCAGCCCAGCTCTGCTGGATGCACAGAGTTGGGTGGCTGTAGATTGGCACACGTCCAGCGAGCTACCAGAGTGGCAAGAGAAGGCCTGAGAGACATGGGCTCCAGAAACAGTGTAGCAGGAGCAGGCAAGCTGGAGGCTGAAGACCTCTGGAGAGAGCAGGGACAGCACCCTCTTACTGCCCTGTGTTACAGTAGAGCTGAGGGGATCTTCTGAATGCCATCAGAAAAAGATTGAGAGAGAATTTTTATCTAAATTTGTTGGAGGCCCTGTAAGGAGGTGGCCAGCCCTGAGCGTGAGAGACTGCATGATTTTTGGAGATGGGGAGCACATAGAGAACAGGACCCATAGGGACTCAAGCTACAGCATGGGGGGGGGCCATAAAGAAACTCTTTTAAAAGGGGAGCTGAGGTGAGACCTAAGGGGCTTGGCTGGGACCTGGGCATACAGGCCTATGCATGTGGGCAGGACACAGCAGCCTTGCTAACCAAAAATCTCAGAGGCAAAGAATAAACTGAAGGAACTGGGAGGACCTGACCCAACATGGCTCACAAGCAGAGGGCAGAGAAGAGTGGATAATTCCAGCTGAATCTACTGTGAGAACAATCTAGACTACTGTGTGGTCTACAATGTAGGAGCTGAACTCCTGAGTTTGCTGTAGTCATCCAGAGCCTTTCACAGACAGGTGATCTCAACCTCCTACCTGCAGGAGAGGTCAGACTCAGGAGTTACCTGCTGCTGTGCACATTTCCTCAGAGGGAAGAAGAAAAAGGCCCTGTGCCAGATATTATGTGCTACACAGCTCCTTGGGCCCCAATTTACTAAACCCAGAAGAGCAGAGAATATAGAGACAGTTGCAACAAGACACTATCCTCTATCCTGTATAGCTGTTTAACATTCATTTCATATTCTTCATGTTTGGACATAATATGGCACAAGGTTTTATAATACAGTTTATTTTAAATCTCATATACTGCTCTTCTCTTGCTTCATACTACCTCCTTCCTCTTCCTCTGTATATTTGTTTTAAATTCTATTTTCTCTCTTGCTACAACTTGGTTCTATTCTGCACTATTACTATTGCTCCCCGCTCCAGCCTCTCAAAACTATTAGTGAGTGTCATTAGTCATCTCATATTCCTTCTCCTGTTCTTAAAATACCCCTATTCTGTCTCCACCTTTACCAATCTTTGCTTGTAGGTAGTGGATAAGGTGGTTGCTGTTACAGTTTGTCAATCCTGCCCTTCCCTTTTTTTCATTTTAAATGTTAGTTTTTTCCCTGTCTTAGCCAGATTTTCATCCCACACTCATAGTATTCCTTCTCCCTTGATCCTCTCAAAATAATTTATCTTTCATCTAGGCATCTCTTAAGCTCTTCTTTCTTTTCTTGTGCCCTCTTATTCCTGTTCTACCTATATGAATTCTACAATTCTTTGGTTGTTGATATCTCTGATGGAGATTTTTCTGCAATTAGGGTCATTATATATATATATATATATATATATATATATATATATATATATATAGTAGCAGTTGTCTGTTTTTTCCATCATTTGATACATACAAATATAAATATATTTTTTTTAATTTTGGTTTTTACCTAATACTACATGCTTCTTCTCTCTCATGCCATTCCACCCTCTCTCCTCCCTTTTATTTTGGCTACAAGGTAAATTTTATTTTCTTTCCTACCTTGCCTTGTCTCCATTCCTTACTCTTATTATTGCCCCTCCCTCTATACTCGCAAAATCTCTTTTTCAGTTAATCATTTCATATTCATTTTTCCTTTCTTATAATAGTCTTAATCTCTTTACACCTTTATTAGTATTGGCGCATTGGCTGTTGATAGTGTAATTGTGGGTGGGGGATATCTTTGTGAATGTGGGTCTGTTTCCTGTGCTGTTTGGTTTTTGTTCGGGCAGCACCTATACAACAGTAAACAAGGCATGGAGAGCGGAGTGAAACTCAGTCAGTCAGCCAGAGGGAAGAACCCCCAAAGAATGACCCAACAACAACCAAAACCCAATTACAACCACATAAAAGACATAAAGGGCGGCAGAAGAGCATGAAGCACAGGTGATCAAGGAGATTGCACCACTGAGTCCCACAGCTCTCCTGCCGCAGAATATCACACCATGAAGACAGGGAATCAGAACAGATAAATCTAACAAGCAGAAGAGAACAAGAAGAGTCACTTAAAATGGGGAGACAAAGAAACATCCTCCAATCAAGAGGAAAGGAGAACTCCTCAGAAAGCCTGCTAAATGAAATTGAGGCAAGCAAAGTATCAGACATCGAGTTTGAAACAATTGTTATAATGGTGTTCAAGACGCTCAGTGAGAACTTCAAAGAATTCCATGGAAAATTGAAATAACTTACCGTGAACTATACCAGCATGAAAAAAGACATAGGAATTTTCAATAAGAGGATGAAATAAAAAATACAATACCTGAAGTGAAGAATGGAGTAGAAGGAATTAAAAGCAGGTGGTATGAAGCAGAGGATTGAATCAGAAAGCTGGAGGACAAGGTAGAAAAAAATTCCCACACAGAGGAACAAAATGAAAAAAAAAAAGACTCAAAAAGAATGAAGAAGGGTAAAGGAAGCTGTAGGACAACATGAACTACAATAATATCCATATAATAGGGATACAAGAAGGAGAAGAAGAGGAGCAAGAGATAGAAAACCTGTTTAAAAAACTAATGACAGAAAACTTCCTTAATTTGATGAGGGAAAAAGTAATCCAAGTCCAGGAAGCACAGAGGGTCCCCATTGAGATGAAACAAGGAGGCCCACTCTAAGACACATCATAATTAATATGGTAAAATTCAAGGCATCAAGGGAGAAATAGATAGTAACATACAAGGGAGCTCCAATAAGGCTATCAGTAGATGTATTAACAAAAACACCGCAAGCCAGAAGGGAATGTTTAGAAATACTCCAAGTCATGAAAAGCAAAGGCCTGCAACCAACACTACTCTGCCCAGTAATGCTCTCATTTAAAATGGAAGGCAAAATAAGGAGTTTCCCAGATAAAAGAAGTCTAAAAGAGTACACCTCTACCAAACCAGCATTGCAAGACATGCTAAAAGGACTGCTTTAAGATGAAGAAAAACAGTGAGAGTGAGGGGAACACAGATATAAAGGAAGAAAATGACAATGAATAAGTGCCTATCAATAATAACCTTAATGGTTTAAATGCTACAATCAAAAGACATCAAGTAGCTGAATGAATAAGAAAACATGACTGGCACATATGGTACCTACAAGAAACCCACCTCAGAACAAAATGACTACACAGACTGAAAGCAAAGGATTGGAAGAAAATATTCCAAGCAAAAGGACAGGGAAAAAAAAGCCAGTGAAGCAATACTTACTTCATACAAAATAGATTTCACAACAAAGGCCACAGAAAGAGACAGAGAATGTCACTTCATAATACTGAAGGGAAGAATTCATCAAGAGGACAAAAATATTATAAATATATATGCACCCAACACAGGAACACTCAAATATATAAGGGAAGTTATTGAGGACTTCAAGAAAGATATAGGTGTAACCCGCGTGGGCTGGCGAATGCTTGCAGAGGACACAAGGCCTCCCACAGATTGGCACCGATACGGCCTGCGAGGGAGTGCGCAGAGCGGCAAGGGCAGGCGTAAATTGACCCGCCCGCTCGCGATTGCGAAGCGGCCCACAAAATTAGGAGAGCTGCCCAGAGTCCCTGGAGGAGAGACCAGAGACAGGATTAACCAGAGTCCTGGAGCTGACTTCCTCCCATTTCCGGAGTCCCCATTTGCCGAGGGCAAGCAACGCACCCAAAGAGTCAAAAGCGGGGAAAATACACAATAGAAGACCATAAACTGACCAGTACTGTGGAGCTCGCTGGCCAGGGGGCCAGATGAGTACATGAGGTCACACATAAGCCCCCTGGTCTGGGGCAAGCACAGGCGAGCCCAGGCAGGCAGGGGATCCTGCCGCCCTGGGAGCGCGCTCAAGGAGCCTACATGAGAGTGCAGAGAGATCCCCAAAAATAGCCCAGCTCTGACCGAAGGGGTCACAGAGCTGCTCCAAGTAGGAGTCAGACACAGGCATTAGACTCCTGGAAGGCTCAAACAAACAACCAAAGATCCTATAGGGTCAACAACTGACATCATCAGAGGCAGGCCCAGAAAGAAAAGTAAAGGACAAAAATACTTAACAGACTCTCACAAAAATAGGAAGAAAAAGAAGTTCCCCCCAAATGAGTGGAAAAGGGGACTGCCCACAGAGAGAGCTAAATGAAATAGAGGCAAGGGAACTATCAGATACTGAATTCAAAACAATGGTTCTAAGGAAGCTCAATGAGCTCAGCCAGCTCAAAGATAACTATGAGAAACCGCAGAGAAACTATCAGGATCTTACAGCAAACTATATCATCCTGGAAAAGGACATAGAAACTATCAAGAAGACACAAGAGGATATGAAGAATACCATTTCTGAATTGAAGAACACAGTAGAAGGAATCTAAAGCAGGCTGGATGAAGCTGAGGATCGAATCAGTGAGATGGAGGACAAGGTAGAAAGAAGCTCCCAGAGAGAACAAGAAATGGAAAAACGGCTCAAAAAGAATGAAG